CCCCGCGCCCCGCACCTCGGCCCAGGCCGCCCGCGGGCTCTGGGCACCTGTGGCCGGCCGCTGCCCAGGACTGGTGTCGCGCGGCCACCCCGTGGGCCAACCTAGGGCGCCAGCCCGGGCCCTGCGGCGCGAGATGGTCCCCTGAGGCTACCTCTAATCCCCGCGCCGGATCTGGGGTTCTGCTTCTGGCCCGCGCCCCTACCCGAGAGTCTCCACCAACTTCTGCCCGCGAACTCCACTCTGCCCCCTCTCTTGGCCCAGGGCAACCTCGGCAACCCTGACAGCGCGGACCCTCCGGAGTACCCAGAAGGGTCACCCGGGATGGCCAGCACCTCCCTAGGTGGAGGCGCCTTCGGAAGTAGCCAGCTGAATGCTGTGTGGCCTTCACCTTGCAGCCTCTGTTGACCACACCTCCCCGAGTGCAGGGCTGCCGCCCTCCCGCCTGCCGCAGGAAATGCTGTCCCAGGTGAGGCCCTGGGGCGCCTCTCGTAGGAGGGTTTGCACTGACTTTAGAAAGGCCCTAGGAGCAAAAGTCAGCCCGGATGAGGGAAGAAGGGAGGCCTGTATGCAGGGCCATCTCTGCTGGGTGGGCTCAGGAGTCCAGGCAGGTCTGCATTCCCTGCCCAGTATTACAGAGCTCTGGGCACCTACCTTCTCAGGAGGCAGCATCTGACACGTGTGGCCTGCCGGTGGCGGCCGTGGAAGGCAGGGTGAGCTCCCAGAGCAGTCTGGGAGACAGGAGGCCTGGGAGACCAAGGGAATTGACTTCCTTTGAAGGCTGCAGGGGGAGTGTGACATGGACAATCTCTCTCGCCTGAGAGAATCCCTAAATGGCTGTCTGTGACTATGGGTCATTACCTTTGGAGGGCTGGTTCCCTCATCATGTCTCAATGAGGAATGGCCTGAGGGGCTAAAATGGAGCCCTCTGAATAGTCAGGAGAAGCTGTCATCCCCTACCTGAACAGCTTCCTTCCTTCCTCTCAGCACAGCCGGCTCCCGGAGACCCCGGTGTGACTGCCAGGATGGAGCTGGGGCCAGCGACAGAAACCTTTGTGTTGGAGCTGCGATGTCTTGAGGATGGGGGCCCAGGGCCTGACACCCTCTCAGGTGAGGGCTGGGGGAGGGATGATGAGACCCCCCCAGTAAGGGTCCTTTGACAGACCCCCAAGATCAGCTGTGGTAGAGAGAGGTACTTTGGGGTGGCTGACAGCCTGCACCCACTCCAACCTGCAACTTCAGCTGCCTTGAGTAACACCTGCATGTTGACCCTGGGATTTTTGCCAGGTGGCTTGGTTGGCTTGAGTCTTTCTGTCAAGGGGACCACCACACCGGTGCTGGCTGGAACTTGGTCCTAGATGTTCCACAGTCAGGTGGCTCCATTGTCCTCTCACCTGGCCCTGGCTCCCAGTATCCAGTTCTCAGATGCATTTTGAGGCAGAAATACTCTCCCCTCAGCCCCTTGTGCCTCAGGCATTGACACTGTGTCTTCTTTCTTGTGGTCTCTACCCCAGCCCACTTGTCCTAGAATACTTCTTCCGTTTTTCTCCACCTGATGCCAGGGGCAAATATGCTGCCAGCCTTTCAAGAGCACTCCTTCTGGAATCTCTGCTGGATGTGCCTTCTACAGTGGCCATAGTCAGGAAAGTCTATGTCCTGTTGTGTGCATTAAGGGCACTGAACAGGGTTTAGGGCAGAGTCGAACAGACCTTAGAGGAGGACAGATAGAATTGGAAGGGTGGATAGGGACATGTGGACTAAACAGACATCCCCCTGCTTCAGCCATGGTGGTTGTAACTAGGAAGTTCACACTGAGCCATGTCCTTAGCTACCACCCCCCAAATTTTTTTATTTTGAGACAGGATCTTGCTAAGTAGTTAGGCTGTCCAGGCTGGACTTGAACTTGCTTGAACTTTTGCCTCAGCTTCCCAGAGTAGAGGATGGATCTATCCATTCAGCATAGATCCCAGTGCTGGGATTATAGGATTCTTCTGATTTATAATTTTAGCTGACAAAAACCTTGCAAGGGTATGCATATCAGGCATTAAGTACCTATTTACAAAATGCTTTTGATAAAAGGCTGGAATTGCTGCCCCACAAAGTCACAGTAGTCATGTGGCCAAGGTAGGTATGAGAGTCACAGAAAGGTATGATTTGCACCTGTGGCTCCCCTAGGAGGTGGAAGAAGGAGATGCCAAAGAGACATCAGACTTGCTTTCGGGACATGTTTCCATGACTGTCTTCATCCACTACCTGCATACCCCCAGCTGGTGTGACCAAGAAAAATGCACTCACTGATCATTAGCCTAAGCATGGGTCATTAGAAATAGTTCTCTAAAAGAGGATTATATCCATGTGAATATCTTTTGGTTTTATTTAATCAATATATTCCTGGAAAAATGGACAGAAAGCAAAATTTTATCAAACTATTCCTTTCCAGTACAAAATTTAAAGTATAATCCTGTGGGAAAATTATATGTTGAAATCAGATCGGGAAGTAGAGAAAGCTCCTAGGTTCACACGTGTAAGGAAGAATTAGGATTTTTTAAAAAATGTATTTGGAATGAGTCTCACTACGCAGCTCAAACCTATAGTGATCCTCCTGTTTTCAGCCTTTCCAGCACTGGGATTACAGGTGTGTGCCACCATGTCTGGTTGTGGTGGCCAGTTTGGGGCCAACTCAGTGGCTAGCTCAGTGTGGTGTCGGGTATCAAACCCTGGTCCCTGTACTTGCCTAAACAGGCACTTAGTCTGCTGAGATATCTTACCAGCCCTGAGGTTTTCTGTCTTCAGCACAGAAAACAGTATTAATTACAATATTAATACTTAGAGAAACTAAATTTGGACATTGCACAGAAGGAAAAAATACAGTAAAGGAGTAACTCCTGTGTTTACACCTTACCCAATGCTGAGGTTCTACATTTAACCTCTCTGGATTTCACAATATTCCTAAGAAAGATATACCTCCTTTTTTTTTTTTTTTTTTTTTTTGGTGGGACCGGGGATTGAACTCTGACCCTTGCACTTGCCAGGCAAGCGCTTATCCTACTGAGCAATCTCCCCGACCCCTGATATATCTCCTTTTGCAAAAGGAAAAACTGAGGTTCCGTGAAATAAATTGATCCGTTTCCACTAGATGTAGTCCTTTTTCATTCTTGAATGTCAATCTAAAATACTTTTAGTCTCTGAGTATTTCAAAGAGTTAGTTGAATCCTGTGGATTTGCAATTGGAGGGCATTTTCAAGCACTTGCCAGGATGTAGAGAATATTTCAGGCTCTTGAGCCTGTAGGGGGCAGGACAGCTCCTAATTGGAAGTCAGGTTCTGAAATAAGGGCTGCCCGTCTGAAACCTGGCTTCAAAATCACTTTGGTGATTTCTCAAAACTGTTTGCAGAACACCTTCCAGGCAGCTTTGACGAAGTGCTTTATTATTTACAGAGAAGGTGAGTTCATTTATTGAAGGTGTGACCATTGCTGAGGTCAGAATTCAGCATGGGGCTCTTGGCATGTTTAGTTGTCTGATTTCCAGGGGATGTGGATGAAGCACAAGAGACTTTGCAAGCAATGGTGTGTTAGGAATCCTTGGCACATGTATAGGCGCCAAGATCCAAGCTGTGGGAGAGGAAGCAGAGAGAGGAGCTTACAGAGTTGGGGCCCAGAGTGAGGGAACTAACAGTCCCTTGGGCATATTTCTAAGCCAGACTCCCCCCTGGGCGTTTCACTGTCTGCCATGCTGTTGTGCTACCATTCTCTTGATCTAACGCCACTGGGTCTCTGCTGAACTTATTAGTGCACCCTTGCCTGGCTGTGTGTGGAACGGGTAAGGGGCTGTTCCTGGGATCTGGACCAGACAGCTGCCTGTAGATCCTCTCTTCTGCCTTCCTGCCATTTCCACTACAGGTGGCAGTGGTGGGAGCGAGAGTCAAGAAGAGGAAGAGGGGAGCAGCAGCCCACGGTCAGCTCAGACTGCTGAGCTACCAGCAGTTTCAGCCCCAGGAGGATCCAGTAACATCACAGACAAAGCCCAGCCAGGAGAACAGGAATTGCAAAAGCAACACTTAGAGCAGCAGCCAGAACTACAACAATCAGAGTATGAGCGGCCACAACAGCAGCAACCACAGAACCAGCTATTAGAACACCAATCAGAATTGCAACAGCAGCAGCAGGATGAGAAACAGCAGCTGTCTCAACTACAGCACAAACTACAGGAAAACCACCAACCCATGCAACACCAGGAACTGACACCCCAGCTACAGCTAATTCAACAGCATGGACAGGTGGGACAGCAGGTGCAAGAGCGACAGTTGCAGCAGCAGGAACAGTTACAGCAGCAGCAACTGCAAAGCCAACTGTTACAGCAACAACAGGACCAACTACAGCAGCAGCAAGTGCAAGAGCAACAATTGCAACAGCAGGAACAGTTACAACAACGGCAGCAAGCACAGGAGCAGGAACAGTTACAGCAGAAACAGGCGCAAGAGCAACTATTGCAGCAGCAGCAAGTGCAGGAACAATTATTGCAGCAGCAACAGCAGCAGAGAGTGCAAGAGCAATTGTTGCAGCAACAGAAACAGTTACAGCAGCAGCAAGTGCAAGAACAGCTATTACAGCAGCAGCAAGTCCTACAGCAACAACTGTTACAACAGCAGGAACAACTACAGCAGCAACAGTTCCAACAGCAGCAGGAGCAGCTCCAGCAACAGCAGCTACTGTTGCTACAGCAGCAGGAACAGTTACAGCAGCAGCTCTTGCTCCAGCAGCAGCAGGCACAAATCCAGCAGCAGCTCTTGCTGCAGCAGCAGGGGCAGCTCCAACAACAGCAGCAGGAGCCTCCTCAGCAGCCTCCTGCTGCACTGGAGCCAGAAGAGGAAGAAGAGGTGGAGCTGGAGCTTATGCCTGTAGACCTGGCGGCAGAGCAGGAGCTGGAGCGGCAGCAGGAATTAGAGCGGCAGCAAGAGCTGGAACGGCAGCAGGAGCAGAGGCAGCTGCAGCTCAAACTGCAGGAGCAGCTGCAGCAGCTGGAAAGGCAGCTGGAGCAGCAGCAGTTAGAGCAGCAGCAGCTGGAGCAGCAGGAGGTGCAGCTGGAGCTGACCCCGGTGGACCTGGGAGCACAGTCTCAGGAGGTGCAGCTCGAGTTGACCCCAGTGCAGCCGGAGCTGCAGCTGGAGCTGGTACCCACTGCTGCAGGGGCCAGCGGGGCCGCGGTCCCAGGGGCCCCAGCGGCCGTCGTGGTGGCTCCTCCTGGTTACGTGGTCCTGCAGGAGCTCATGGTGCTGCCTGCCGTGGCCACACCAGCCGTGGTAGCTATCCCGGGCCCGGCCGGCAGTGCAGCTTTGACTCCCGCGCGGCAGCGGCGGCGGCGGCGAGCGCGGGACCGGCCAACCATCTGTGGGGAGTGTGGCAAGGGCTTCAGCCGCAGCACGGACCTGGTGAGGCACCAGGCCACGCACACGGGCGAGCGGCCACACCGCTGCGGGGAGTGTGGCAAGGGCTTCTCACAGCATTCCAACCTGGTGACGCACCAGCGCATCCACACAGGGGAGAAACCCTACGCCTGCTCCTACTGCTCCAAGCGTTTCAGCGAGAGCTCAGCTCTCGTGCAGCACCAGCGCACGCACACGGGCGAGCGGCCCTATGCGTGTGGCGACTGCGGCAAACGATTCAGCGTCTCTTCCAACCTGCTGCGGCACCGGCGCACACACTCGGGCGAGCGGCCCTACGTGTGCGAGGACTGCGGCGAGCGCTTCCGCCACAAGGTACAGATTCGCCGCCACGAGCGCCAGCTGCATGGTGCGGGCCGCTCACGGGGCCTTGGTCTACTGCGCTCAACGCGGCCAGCGCCACCCGGCGGAGCTTCACGCGCCCAGCCAACCTCGGGGTCCAGCGCTGCAGCAGCAGACAAGGCGCCCTGATGTGCGATCCGCGCGCCTCGGGGATCAATGCAGGAGAGAACGGGGAACATGGGTTGCTGTCACTTGTGAAACCCCGTGCGCGCACGTGTGGAGATGGCCAGACGCCTTGCTCCCAAGTTCATGGTTTCCTGGAATATCTTTGGAAAAGAAAATACTTCCATCATCCCCCGGATTCCCTGAGAAGTTCCAGGTTCACAGATTCACACCCACCCCCAGAATCATCCACAACACTTAAGATAGCACGGGGAAGCCAATAGCTAAGGCGGAGGTGGCCACATTGTTTTCTTTTTCCTGTGGGGGGAAAAAAATCAGACTTCGCAGAAACAAGTCACCTGAAAAAATTCCCTGTGACAAGCAATTGGACACCATGGTGTTTGTGGACCGAACACTATCCAGAGAGTAAGGTATCTATATGGAGAGACACAGGGAACAGATGGATCTTGGTGAGAAGTATTTCAAGGAGAAGAACAGAGGAGAGGTATAGAAATTTACCTGGACGAGGTTGAAAACTGATCAAGGCATTGTCCTTTCAGCACTTGCCTTGAAAACACCTGCTAGGATGGCAGTGCATCTGGGTGGATGTGGTTCTAATGGAAAAACAATAGTGTGCACAGGGGCCGGGGGAGGGGCAGAGTGCAAAGAAGAGCCAGGAAGCCGTGCTCCGGAAGGAAGGTGAACCTGCCTCCTGGAGCAGCCCAGGGTTCTGCGTGGGGCAGGCTACAGAGGATCTAGCCTTCTGCTGCCACGATCCCCAGTTCCCAGGCCCTGCTGTGGCCCAGCCTGTGGCTAACATAGAGGGCATTCTGGAGTTTTCTGAAAGGTCTAGAAGTGCCCCCCCCCCCAAAAAAAAAAAAAAAAAAAAAGCTTGGGACAGCCCTGCCCTGGCTCAGGCTGTTCAGATGCTGCTCAAGGGGTTGGTGCTTTGACACCAGGGGCAGGGGTCTTCTGGGCCAGGTGGTGGGGATGGCTGCCTGACAGACCCTGCTACCTGGCTGGAGGTGTGGGAAAAACTTACTGGGGACAAGGATTGCGAGCAACAGAAAGGCTGTTTACCAAATCCGTCTGGGGCAGGGGCTGTAAGAGCAGCAGCGACTGCTGACATCTCACAACGGAAAAGCGGGCTGGGGACGAGGCCACTGGCTACCTCTGGACCCCAAGCACTTCTTGCTCTACCTGATGTCCCATGTGTGGCTGCTTGATTTCTGCCCTCTGCCCTCTCTACTTCTCCTTTACTAACACAGTCTGCCATGTTTTACACATGTGTTGGTAAGTGAGAAACGAAACATGAAAAATAAATTAAAATGAGCTACAGTGTCTTGTCTTTGTGCTTTTGTCACTGGATTGGTCTTGCCACTGGGGCTTCATTTCTCAGGAATTTTTGAGGGGCGTTCTAGAGCAGAGCCCTTGACCAGTCTTCACTTCACATTCTCCCTTCTAGCCTGTGTGAGCTTGTCCGGGGAATGGACTTATGCAGTAAAACCCTTATGGGAGGGACAGGGACTAGAGGTGGATTCTTAGGGAGGAGAGTTTCAGCACCTTTGAGTCCAGGTGTCTTGTGAAGTTCTGGGGGTAGGGTGGACCTTGCCACTGTTGAAAGGCCACTTGGAGAGGGGTAGTCATGAGGCTTGGTGTCCCCTTCCAGTCCTGAAAGTTCTTGATTCCCTCAACTGGGGTGAGAGATTAAACTCAGGGCCTTTGCACTGAGCTACATCCTCTGCTATGTTTTGAGACAGAGTCTCACCAAGTCACCAAGCTTCAGCTTCCCAGAGTTCTGGGATTACAGGTATGTACCACCATGCCCAGCTCCATAAAAATCTTGGATTATAAAACTTGGCTAGCCAAATGTCTTGAAATTTCTTTTGGTCAATCTTATTTTCCCCTGGCCCCTAGCTTTCATCCCCAACTTCACTAGGACATAGCCCTTGGGCTACTGGAACCTCTTGGACCCACATATGTAGAAAAGCTGGCTGTCCCTAAGAACTACTTCCCCTCTGGTGACCATGCCCTTTAACCCATTAGAGTAGGTATGGGGTGGGAGCAAGCCAAGTTCTACTGCTTCTGGTTAGGATTGCAGGGAGCTTGCCTGGAAGATCTGATCAAAATTCTCAGAGTTTGCATTTGAGACTGCATATCTGTGTGTGGTACTAGGGATTGAACCTAGAGTTTTCCACTAAGCTACATTCATATATATATATATATATATATATATATATATATATATATATATTCTTGCTAATTTGCTCAGACTGGGCTTGAATTTGTGATTCCCCTGTGGGATTACAGGTGGGCACCACCACGCTGGTTTGAGAGCACTTTCACACCTTTACTTTGCCTCCTCTCTTTCCCTGTCCCAGTCTCTCACTTTGACACCCCATAAATCTCTCAGGTCCCTATGGAAAAGACTGACTTTACGTAGGGAGGGACAGAATTTCTCACCAAGGATGGGGTGAGACTCAGCTGTAGGAACCAGGAGACTGCACCAGCATGGCTGCTGCTCCCACCCAGGAGCTATAGGGCATTCAAGGCAGGGGACAGTGACCTTGGGAAACTCAGCAGGGGCTCATCCCTGCAGTAGGTCGGGGCTTGCTCTGCAGAGGCCACCATGGAACTGGGCTCCCTCGTGTCCATGAGTGGGGCCACTGTCATGGCTGGCTGCCAGACAGGGTGGACACGACTATGGAAGTGGGCAGTGAGGAGCCCACAGAGTGGTATCTAGGAGCACAAACACATGGGGCTCTGTGGCGGTATATAGTAACCACAGTGCTCCCAAGGCCAAGAGGGAAGGGCATCCAGCTAGTGGGGCACTGCTTGACTTACATATCCCACAAGAAAGTCAAGTGACCAGGAAGGACATTGTCAGATTCCCCAACAGAAGGTCGCAATGTCTGTCAGGTTCTAGATCTGAGAGAGCTCTCAGATCCAGAGGAGCTAGGACCCCTCAGAAGGACTTTATCATTCTGCTGTCTACAGTAAACAGGGACAACAATGATTTCCTCAACTCTTCCCCAGAGGACCTGGAGCCACTTACCCGAATAACATTCATGGAGAGATGGGATGTCTGATCAGTTAACCAGGGGCCCTGACCTTGCCAGGGTGAGGGTCTCAATCACTCACTGAGACCAGAGTCTCTACCAGTGGCAATACTGAAGGCTTGGGGGTCTAGAACAGGGTGATGAGGGGGATGAGGGATGTCGGTTATGACCCTAATGTGCAGTGCCCTCCTGTAGTAACTGTTCTCTATTCAGAGTGGAATCAGCATGAGATGTGGGGTGCACTACATGGAGACAGGAGACTGGGATAACACTGATTTTCTGTTCCACAACTGTCTGGATGGAGCATCTGGATAGATGTGTGGGTGCTCCAACCCCCAGCAACCCACACCTGTACCTCTTCCACATGTGCTGCTCCTGGAAATGTCTGAGGGTAGCTATCCCTAAAATGGTGGCTTAGGAAGACCCAGGTACCTCACTTGAATTTGGGACAACTGAGGCATCGTTTCTGCCCTGGTGTGGATCACATTTCCTGGGTGGGACTTGGCCTGAACCTCTCTCTCCTTCTTCCTTTTTCCTGCCTAGATCTGGTTCTGGCTAAGGTCAGCCATACCAGGGTGCTTGCTTTGGGCAAAGAGGGTATGGATGGAGCATAGAAGGAGGCAGCTGTCATTGTTAGCTGCGATCATGTGACCAGTTACAGACCCAAGAGCTGTAATGATCATGAGTACTTTGTACTTATGTTCATTTGAATATATTTGTTTATATGTTAACTTTTTTCTCTCTCCCTCCCTAACTTCCCAAACACCTAGCATAAAGTGTACTAATCATGGGTGCTTATTTATTTATTTATTTATTTAGTGGTAGTGAAGATTGACCTCAGTATTTTTTCATTGAACTATATCTCCAGTCCTTTTTTATTTTTCATTTTGAGACTAGGTTTCATTAAGTTTCCTAGGTTGAGCATGAATTTGTGACCCTCCTATCTCAGCTTCCCTCCCTTGGCTGGGATTATAGGCATGTGCCACCATGCCTGGCTCAAGATAACTTTATATCTCAGTATTTAAGCTGAAGGAAATTGATTTAAGAGGCAATGTGTCTTATCTAGAGGAGGAACAACTTTATTCAAAGATGGAGAATGGAGCTTTGTGTCCTTTTTGGGGAAGGAATCCCGGTGGTTCTGTGTTTGCACCATGGGGTGTGAGCTGGTTGCTTTATTTCAAGGTGAAGTGTGATTTGTTACTTTGGTTTCACAGGTACTAGTAGTTGTGTTGTGCTCCATTTCCATGACAGTTCTCTGCCTTAGATTTTAAAATTCCCCTTTAAAAATCCCCACCATGCCAGGCATGGTGCTATAGGTTGGTAGTCCCAGTACGCAGGAGGTTGAGGCAGGAAGATTGCTTGAGCCCAGGAGTTGGAGGTCAGCCTGGGCAACCTAATGAAACCCTGTCTCAAAACAAACAAACAAACAAACAAACAAACAATCTCCTATGGAACCACCTATGTGGTGAATTTCATGGAAAAAGCAATCTGATCACATAATCAAAGAGCAGTGCCTGGTCTTTCCCAGAAAACTGACATACTCAGACCTTACATCTGAGCTGATGCCTAGGAACCAGTGTGGCCATGCTAGGCCACAAAGGTCTTATACTATCCCAGCTCCTTCATTCATAGCCACAGAGCAGTGGCCACCAGGGCCTCTAATTCATACACTGGGAACTGTAAAAAGCAAAATGTAGACCAGAACATAAAGAAAAAAAGTTTAACGCTGACGTGGTGGTGCATGCCTGTCATCCCAGCCATTCAGGAGACTGGGGCAATGTCTGCGTTGGTGGTATAGTGGTAAGCATAGTTGCCTTCCAGGAGACTGGGGCAGGAGTATAACAAGTGAGAGCCAGACACTGTCTCAAAATGAAATGAAAACAGTTCTAAGTAGTAGAACTCTTGTCTAGCCTGCAGGGTGCCCTGGATTTGATCCCCAGTATCACATACACACACACACACACACACACACACACACACACACACACCCCACACACATGCACGCATACATGTATGCACAAAGTTTTTTTTTGTTCTCTCTCCTCATTCTTTTTTATTTTTTTAAATTTTATTGAGAAATAAATATGAATGAGACAGTTTCAAAGCTGATTGATAGGACAGTTTCAATAATCAATACATAGTACATTGTTATCTTCTTAGTGGTTATCCATAGTACAAGAAGCAGACAGGATATCCCGTCTAAACACTATTAGTACACCTCTTTCTCCTCATTGAATTAAGTGAAGTAGCTGTATATCTATCCTAACTATTTGTATATATAAATACAAAATGATCTTTCCTTTGTATCCCCCCTTTTTCTTTGTTTAGTCCTGTCAAAGGTGAATATTCTGTTGGCATCTAAATACTCTAGGTGTTTGAATTCAGCTAAACAATCCAACACTGTCTAGCAGTCTATAATATTAGTGGGTTATCCTCAGAAGTTATTGACTTGAGCCTTTTACAGCTCATCGTATTAATATGGCTTTACTTTATATACCTTGTTTTTATACTTTTCTGCTGGATGGTTAAGACCAAGATAAAGCAAGACCTATATACCCAGAAATGTAACCTTTGTATCTGATAAGGTCAGTCAAGTCCCCTCAGGATTTATCCTGTAGCCCCGTACCATACTTTGTAGATCCTTTCTCAGTGTCAGCCATGAGGATGAGTCACAGCCATTGCTTGACCAATTTGCTCTCTGTGAAAGCCTGAGAAAATTTTTTTCTCTCCATGTGACTCTCCCCAGGCATGATATACATCATCGATCACATTCCTCTGTGGCTCCATAATCTTCTTGATCAGAAAATTTGGAGCACAACTGAGTTACAGGATGTTACAGTACAGGTTCTCCTATGTCCTGAGTCTTCACTGACCTTGAAAGGCTAGGGCCAAAATGTTGGCCGACCTTGCAGCTCTTCCTTTCCTCCAATTTTGAACTGCTAAATTAGGTTGTTAACCCTCCAGAAGAGAAGCTTATTATTAATCTGCAATATATGCAGTTCGGTTTACCCTATCTGTCTAAGTATTAAACATCTTTGGCATATCATGGATGCACAAAGTTTTACTTGGGAAGAGAACAGTCCAGATCTCAAGGCTGGCTCACCAGTGAAAAAAATGCAACAGGAGTCTTTAAAAATCCTGCAAATTCTGGGGAGATAGCTCAGTAGATAAGCGCTTGCCTGGCAAGCACAAGGTCCTGAGTTCAATCCCCAGTACCTCAAAAAAAAAAAATCCTGCAAATTTATCAAGAATATGATTAGTTTTAGTTTCTCATAAAAT